TGACCCAGCAATTCCACTACTTGGCATATACCCCATAGAAACCATAACTGCCACTCAAACAGATATATGCACACCCATGTTTATCATGGCTTTGTTCACAATATCAAAGAGTTGGAAACAATATAATTACCCATCAACAAACAAACAGAGAAGCTGTGGTATATTCACACAATGGAATACTATGCTGCATTGAAAAACAAGGAACTCATGGAATATTTTTCAAAATGGGTGATCCTGGAGGACATTATGCTGAGTGAAATATCTCAGTCACAAAAAGGACAAATACTGCATAGTCCCACTGTTGTAAAACAGGACTGACATCGGGTTTGGGGAGAGATTGAGAAATATGGGATAAATAATGTATACTGCATTGCAACAGATGAGGGACAAAAATGCTTAAAAGGGATATGTGATTAGGTATTATTGTCATGACAGGAGTCCAGAATGAAGGCTGCATAGTGGAGTGGACCTTGGGGGAGGGATTATAAAACAATGAAAGAATTTTTCCTTTACTTTTCAAAGAGAAAAATGTACTGAGTTGGGGAGAGGTGGACAGGGAGAAAAGTGTAACAATGAATGAATGGAAATCCAAATTTTCATTAAAAATAATAATAATTTAAAAAATTTTTAAAAAGAATGAAGAAAGAAGACTCCAGAAAGGGGAGGGGGGGAGGAAGAAATACCATTTGACCAGCTATTCCACGAGTAGAAATTACCTTAAAGAAATAGATATACAAATACATATAGATATATGTGATACAAATAGATATATGCACATTTATGTTTATTGCAGCATTATTCACAATAGCAAAGAGAGGGAAACAGCCCAAGAGCCCATCAACAAACAAAAGGATAGAGAAAATGTAGTACATTTACACAATGGAGTATTATGTAGCATTGAAAAACAATAAAGAACTAACTCATGAAAACATTACACTACATGGATGAGTCTACAGGACATTTGTCTAAGTGAAATAACTCAGTCACAAAAGAACAAATACTGAGCAAGACCACTGTTATATTTAAAAAAAAAATAGAATAAAGGGAGCTCTGGTGGCCTAGTGGCAAGAAGCTGCACTCCAATCCCAGAGGGGTGCAGTTCAAATCCACCAGATGCTCTGCTGCAGAAAGAGGGACAATCTCCTCCTGTACCAGTCAGATCTGATTTGACGGTACACGCACAAAAAATAATAAATTTTTTTTAAAAAAATAGAATGGTTGCAGGAGGGGTTGAGAGGAGAATGTGAAATAAATGGATAGAAAATTAGCATGTTCGTGAAATAGGTGAAGGAAAAGTCTTTGTTAAATGAGTGGACTGTCAGACACTGAATTGCAATTAATGTGGAACAGAGAAGTGTGATTGATGGGGGAGGGGAAGCTCAGGAACATAATCCTGGAAGACCGACAGGGATGGAAGGGGGGAGGAGGGTGTGGAGATTAATGGCTGGGTGGTAGGATGAAGGGAAAAGCTGAGTTCAGTGAGGATTTAAGGAGACAACCTTTTTTAAAAAAGACAACCACAGCAAAAGGATAAAATGTTCACAATTTATTTAAAAATGAAGTTAACTCTGTGTTTAAAAAACAACAAACAAACACCAACTCATGTTCCTTATGGAGAGGGAGGGAGGAGGCAAGCCAGACACAAAAATTACTAATATTAAAGGTCTGGAATAGGCAGATCGATAGAGATACAAAGCAAATTAGGGGTTGCTTAGACCTGGGAAGGTTGGGAGTACCAGAGATGATGGGTAAGAGGTGAACTGTTTCCTTTTGGGGTAATTGTAATATTTTCAATATGGTGATGAATGCACAACTCTTGACCAAAAACCATTGTGTTTACACACCATAAACAGATTGTGTGGTAGGAGAATTTTATCTCAATAAAGCCATTTAAATATATTTTAATGTACTGAGGAATAAAAGATGTTACAAAACAGTATTTTCATGTAATATAGCTTTGTATATTAAGGGGTGATGGTACTTGTTTTAGTTTCTAGAAACAAAGGTTGGGGATTAGTAAAGTAAGTTCCATTGAGGAGGAAAGAGGGGTCAATCCCAGTTACACTGTATTTGGAACCTCTCATTTCTACATGCTGTTTACTCAGAAAAACTGTGGGAGGATACACTATGGGTCACTTCTGACTCTATGGCAAGGAGAAAAGGTTCCTACATGAGGAAGCCCTGGTGGCACAGAACCTTGGCAGATGCACTGCTAATCGAATGGTGGTGACTCTCGAATCCAACAGCAGCTTCTCAGAAGGAAGATGGGCAGTCTCCTCCCTTCTTTCCGAGGGTTTATAGCCTCGGAAAACCTGCTGGAGGGTCCATTACGAGCTAATTCCAGTTGTACGGAATGGGTTACGTTCCCAAATTAGTATAAAAGTCAGCTAATTGCTTAGGGTTTTGTTGTTGTTATTTACATAGTAGAGGCAGCCAGACGCTTTCCTGATAGGAAAATGCTGAATGGAAGAATACATTTATGAATTAATTTCCTAGGAGGAGAAAATTATGTTTTTACCTTACCTTTATAAAAACAGTTGCTGATGTATATAATATGATAAATTAATAAAAGATTATTCTCCTATGCTAGAAAGGAAGAAAACTGTGTTGAAACTTCTCATCTCCTTTTCATTTAGCATTTCTCTTTCTATTCTTTGTAGAAGAGTATAAATCAGTATTAAAAGCAGGATAACTACTTTGGTTTAAGGATTACTTAGTCAATAAAGAAGATGAAAATCTAAACAGTGGAGTCCTAGGACCAAATAATCTATTTCCTTGAATATTTCCTTCATTGGAATTAGCCCTGTGCTCCCTTTGAATTTGGCAAAAGCAACATTAGGAGGAAATCTTTTTAAAATTTACTGACCAGACATGAAGAGGATGAGTATAGTATTAAAATTCCTCCTCAGGTTACCTGTAAAATACAGAACTCAAAATGCAGGGATAGAGCCCTGTATCCTGAAAATGTCAGTGCAAATTAATGATGAAAAAAATAAGAATTCAGGTTAGGACATCTCAGACTTTCATCTACTTCTAATTGAATAAATAATTTTAAGACATTAACTTACGTTTCTGCCTTTAAACTAGAAAAATAAAAATGTGTGATATTTTAAATGGTATTTCACACCAAACCCAAGACTTTATACTTAATAAAGTAAAATAAGCTTCAGTATTTAAATTGTGGGATTATTTCTCGATTTATTCTTTGAGAACAACTTGTAAGAAATCAGAGCCAACCAGTGATTTGTTGTTGTTGTTGTTGTTGTTATTGTCCAGTTCAGCAATTATCACCTGGAAATAGCCCAGAACTCTCAGGTTAACAAAAGTGGACTGGATGTTAAGACTTCCCTTTCCATGACTCTATTTTAGATGGGAATGAGTAGCCATCAAAGGACAAATAAATATGTCTTGGAAAAGATTTAGCCAGGGTGATTTTGGGAGGCAAGGATGGTGATCCTTCATCTCACATACTTTGGACATGTTGTTAGGAGAGACTATTCCTTGGAAAAGGACATCATGCTTGAAAAGGTGGAGAGTCAGTGAAGGATTGAAGATCCTCCATTAAATGAATTGACACAGTCCCTTTTTTAATATATAAAATTTGTATTTAATAGTGGTTTGCTTATAGAGTTTGTATACATTGTTTTTCACACTGGATCTTTCCCATTCCCTTGACCTATCCCTCCCTCCACCCATCAAATTGTGTGACCCTATAATTACTACCCCCACCCCACCCCACCTCCTTACCCCTCTGCTCCCACCATCTCTCCTTTAGATCCTCAGACATATTTTACTAGTTATCTATTTCTACAATAATGGTTTTATACAGTATTTGTCCTTATAGAGCTGAATTAGTTCACTTAGTATAATGCTCTCCAGTCACTCCCAAGTTAGGTAGTAATTTTGCTTCTACATGCTGTGTAGTGTACATCATGTGAATGTACTACAATTTCTCAATCCATTCAATTATGGTTAGACATTCCAACTGTTTCCATGTTTTTGCAATGGTGAATAGTGCTGCTATGAACATTGGTGTACAAATCTCAGTTTGTGCCTCTGTTCTCATTTTTCGGGGTATATTCCAAGCAGTGGAATAGCTGGGTCATATGAAATTTCTATGTTCAGCTTCTTGAGGAAACATCAAACTGCCTTCCAGAGTGGTTGTACCATTATTTTACAAACCCACCAACAATGTATAGGAGTTCCTTTCTCGCCACATCCTCTCAAACATTTATTACTTGCTGACTTGTTAAAATTTGCCACTGTTACTGGAGTTGGGATAGTTTCTCATGGTTGTTTTGATTTGCTTCTCTCTTATTGCCAGTGATTTTGAGCATGTCTTCATGTGTCTGTTGGCCATCTGAATGTCTCCCTCTGTCTTTCCAAGTCTTTCCATGTATTTTGCCCATTTTGTAATGACAGAAGTAGTCAGGATGGCACAGGGCAGGGTTCAGATCCATTGTTCTAAGAATCGCTATGTGTTGTAGCTCTTGCTGGCCTTTAACAACAACAACAGCAATGAGAAATTATTGATATCCTTATTTTAGCTGAAGAAGTGGGAGTTTTAAAATTTATTCAAACATTATAGGCATAATAATTTTTAGGGATCCTGGGTCTAATACAAATTGAAAAGCAATTGTTGGATAAAATATTCTAAATCTTAGAAGGATTAAAGAGAAAAACTAGGAAGCACTACCATACCCACTAGTAAATATCTCAAGGTTCAAATCATGTAACTAAACACAAAAGTTCATAATTGTTAAGTAAATTGCAGTAAATAATTTCCTGGACTATTTGTTCCGTGATAAAGTATCTCAAATTTTGCCTTTAGGAAAATTTTCTCTGTCTAGTTTTACAGAACTTGGTACTAGAATAACTAAAGTCAGAGAACAACATATGTTGATATACCTAGATATATTCTTAGGTACTTAGCTTCAGTTACCAGGTATGCATATGAAGAGACATCATTTTTCTAATGTTTCTCTTTCCTCCCATCAAAGATTTACACAATTTCGAATTCTTCTTGGAGATTTTCATTTTGCTGGTATCCAGGAAGCCAATTGGATCTTAGGGCCCATTTACTTCATCACTTTCATCTTTTTTGTGTTCTTTGTCCTCTTGGTAAGAATAACCCATGTGTACATCTTTCGATCTTTGTGAAATACTAGGAAATGAAAGAGTATTCATTGAGATGAAATTATAGTGCCCTTTAGAGTAGTGAGAGAAGATCTTCACCCTGAAACCCACAGCGTCCCTTTTCAGCAGGAAGCAGCTAAGAGAATATGCCATCCCCTTTTCCTTATGACTCAGGGTGAAGTCTCTCTCAGGGAGGAGTGATAGGGAATGGCAAAGGACACACTGACAAGGAAGATTAATCAGAACTGGCTTTGACAAGCACTGTGGCATTTGGACAAGAACAAACTGGGAGGAGGGTAGAGAGAATGGTGCAGCGGTGAATGAATGGAAACCCAAAATCTCTGTAAATGTTTATGAAAATTAATAAAATATAATTATAGAAAAAAAAGAGATGAAATTATCACTGTTTAGCTGTAAGAACTTTACATTTATTAAGAGTGGTGCAGATTGTTATTGAACTAGATTCTCTAGTTCATTGTCTAGTGTTTTCAAGTTCCCCTGTGGATAATGTGGTCAAAATAGATACCATTTGAGTGTGCACTATAACTATGTTCGAGATTGTGTCTATGGCACAGGATAGGACAGGATCCAGATCTGTTGTTTCTAGGCCACTAGGACTCAACAGCACCTAACATAGAGTTGGAAATCTGTATGTAACACCGAGTGTCCCAGATTTATCAAGATTCCAGGTCTTATTCTGCCCATATTGCAATCCCTTTTGGTTCTCACTTGCATCAGCTCATCTTATTTACTGTCTAAGACTCCTCACTACGTATATATCTCATATGTGCTGTAGACAAGTCTGTTTAGCTTCTTGTTGAGGCACTACTACTGTCCTCAAGAAAACATTTTTTGTCAAACAGAGAATTTATCCCCTGGAGATACCCCAGAACTCTCAGATTAACAAGGGTGGACTGAACATTAAGACTGCCCTCTCCACGATTCTGTGTTTGATGAGTGAGCATTGTTTTTGTTGTTGTTGTTGTTGTGTTGTGTACTGTAGAGTCGAAACTGACCCTCTGGTAGGTGAAAACCACAGCAGTTAATCGCACAGGAGGAGATAGCCCATCCCTCTCCGTTGGAGCTGCTGGTGATCTCAAACTCCAGGCCTTCAGCTTTTTGCCACTAGGCCACCAGAGCTCCCTTAGATAAGCAATGTAGTTTGTAGTTGTTGTAGTGTACCATAGAGTTGGAAATGACCCATAGCTGACTCTCTGGCAGGTTTTCAGAGGCAGTTAATCACCTAGGAGGTTACCCATCCTTCTCCCTTTGAGCTGCAAACTTTCGAACTGCAAGCCTTCAGGATTGCAGTGCAGCTCTTGGCCACTAGGCCACTAGACCTCCCTAAGCATTTGTGGCTTATTTTCTATGATTGCAAATTATATTACTTTCTCGAACTAAAAGAAACGTCCCTGTGAGCATACAATTACATTATTCTATATTCTCTTGTGATGTATAATATTGATAAATTTAGATGGATAGCAAGCCTGGTGGCATAATACATCATGTGTTAGGCTTACAATCAAAATATTGGTGATTTGACTCCACCAGTGGCTCTGTAGGAGAATAATGAGACGGTCTTCTCTTGTAAACATTTATAGCCTTCGAAGTTTGGTGGAGAGTCTCCATGAGTTGATACAGATAGAGAACTATATGGAGCTCTGCTGGTCTAGTGGGTAAGGAGTTGCACAGTTCAAATCCACCAGGGTCTCCTCGGGAACAATGTGGGCAGTCTCCCTCCTTCTGTGTAATTTATAACCTCTGAAAACCCACTGGAGGGTCAGTTATGAGCCGGTTCTGACTTGACAACACATAAAAACTGTGTACATATAATGTAATGTGTGTATCTCCAGTTTATACATACACACTATTCCACATCCTGTTTTTCTCATTTCCCATATCCATATACATAATACATATTTTCCATTCTACTGTGTTATAATCTAAGTGGTCATTTCCCTGTTACTAAACATTTGGAGTACTTTTAAAAATTGAATCTGCTTTTTACAAATCCCACCACTTGTCAAAGTCACTTCTAAATTAAATTTTTATTGGACTATTTGAATCTTTTTTCCCCAGAACATGTTCTTGGCAATAATTAATGACACCTACTCTGAAGTGAAGGCTGATTATTCAATAGGCAGAAGGCCAGATTTTGAACTTTGCAAAAGGATCAAAATGGTAAGTCAAACTCTTCTCAGCAAAACAAATTTTGTTCTATTTACATCATTGTAGTTCAAGTATCACTTAAACCTAAGATTTTTTTTTCCTCCAGTGTTGTTCCATATTGCATTATTTCCCTTTTAGGGAGGTAAAGTATGCTTCCTGGCTTTAAAAATGTAACTAAAATTATTGTTGCCAGTCAGAATGCTTCCACCTCTTCACTATTGTAAGTAAGTAATACAGCAACAAACATGAGTGTGAATACATCTATTTGTATCACGACTCTGATTTCTTTAGGGATATTCCCAGCAAGGGTAATTCTTTTGAAAGCTGGAAATATGATTCTTAGAATCCTTATGATCTCAGTCTGGTGGCCTAGAGGGTAAGTAGTTGTACTACCAATCCAGAGGCAGGTGGCTCCTTAGAAGAAAGAAGGACAGTCTTCTCCTGTGTGATCTATAGCCTCTATAAAACCCACTGGAGGATCATCTACCAATTGCTCCTTGGGAAAAAAGATGGACAGTCTCATCCTGTGTGATATACAGCCTCTGAAAACTCACTGGATGATCAACAATGAGTTGTTGTTTTGTTTTATGATCCAGCAATTCTATTACTAAGCATGTACCCTAGAGAAACATGAGCCATAACAAGTGAACAAATACACACAAACTCATGTAACAGCTTAAGTGTCTACCATCAGATGAATATATCAGTCTGAACTACAGTACAACACAGAATGGAATACTACACAACAACATTAAAAAATGAGGAATTCATAAAATGCCCCCTAATATGGATGAATCTTAAGGATATCATGCTAGATTAAATAAAGCCATTACAGAAATACAAATAACAAATACTATTAATACAAATAATATATATTATTATATATTTTAAATATGATAGACAAATTATAATATGAAACTAATATTATAAAATGTCAGAAAATGTCTTACAGCCAGAAACATTCTTTCCTGGCTAGCAGTGATGGGAAACGGAAAGAGATCACTAACTAGTGAGTACACACATGTTTAGTGTGGTTGGGAAGGTGATATATAAAGGGGAGAGATGGCAAAGGAAATTGCTGAGGGGCAACTTAGAGTTCAGACAACAAAGGTGAACAAAGAATGGATAGGGAAACTGTGGTACATTCACACAGCAGGATATTATGCAGTATTGAAAACAATGAACTTGTAAAACACTACACAACATGTATGAATCTGGAAAACATTATGCTGAGTGAAATATCTCAGTCCCAAAAGGACAAATGCTGTATAGTGCCACTGTTGTAAAATGGGATGGACATCGGGTTTGGGGGGAAAACTGAGAAAGATGAAATAAATTATGTATACTGTAAAAAAAATGTAGCTAAAATTAATTCAAAGTCCCATATATTAAGCTGAAATTGAGTTATTTTGTAAGCACAAAGCATTATATTTTGTGTTCTAAGAACTCTCTGTCTTCCAAAAGCTTTCAAGTTAGATCCTGGTAAATTTTTATAACAGTTTATACTTGGAACTCTTTCTTAAACACCTGCTAATGACAACTCCATTGTCTTAGTTACTACTGGTTCAAAACCTTAGACCTTTAATTTTGCTATTGCTGATACAATATAGGAGCCCTTGCTCTGGTGATGTACTCCATAATGTGAGTTGTTGTTGCTGTTCTTGTGTATCATCTAGTCAGAACTGACCCATAGCTGACCTTCCAGTGGCTTTTCAGAGGCATTAATTGCATGGGAGGAGATTGCCCTTCCTTCTCCCATGGAGCAGCTGGTGGATTCAAAGCACATCCTTCAGGATTGCAGTTTATCTTCTTACCACTAGGCTACCAGAGCTCCCTACTCAATAGTGTATTCTGCTGCTATTCAAAAAGCTGTACCTCTCCAGCAGTTCAAATTCAACAGCAGCTCTTTGAGTGAAAAAGGAGCAATCTTCCATTAAGAAATTCCTTGGAAATTCTCTGTAGGGAAAGTTTTACTCTGTCTTATTAAAAGTTTAAAAGATAAATTGCATTAGAAAAGTCTGCTGTCATGGACCTCTTCAGAGTGCTGAGGAGCAACAATGTCAATCTAGAGACTAAGGTGTGTCTGATCAAAGCCACGATCGTCCCTATTACTTGCTATGCATCAGTGAGCTGGACAGTGACTAAAGCTGACAGAAGAAGATTTGATGCCTTTTTTACAGTGCTGGAGAAGAGTATCGAACATACCATGGGCTGCCAAGAGAACAAACAAGTCTGTCCTGGAGAGGGTAAAACGAAATTACTCCCTGAAGGCAAGGATTTTGAAGCTCCATCTCACATATTTTGGCCTTGTTGCCAAGAGGGACCAGCCCTTGGAAAAGGACATCATGCTTGAAGGGTAGAGGGTCAGTGTTGGAGAGGAAAACCTTGGATGAGATGGAGTGACACAGTGACTGGGGTAATAGGAGTAGGTATGTCAGAGACAGTGAGGTTGCCTCAGGATAGGGTAGGGTTCAAAGCTGTTGTTCATAGGGTCACTATGAGTCATTGTCAACTCAACTATTAACAACAATTAAAAGCCAGCCTTCTTTGGTCTTCTTTATTCATTGTTTAATGAACTTATTAGACAATAAATAAGAAAAACCCGAGGAGAATGTTGTTGTTGTTGCTGTTGTTGTTATTGTTAGGTACCATTGAGTCAAGTATGACCCATAATGAACCTATGAACAACAGATCTGCACCCTGACCTATCCTGTGCCATCTTCACACTTCCTGACACAATAGAGCCCACTGCAGCAGTCACTGTGTCAATCCACCTGATTGAGTCTTCCTCTCCTGTGTTGATCATCCGTCTTGCTAAGCATCATGTTTCCCTCCAAGGAACAGCCTCTTCTAGCAACATACCTGAAGTATGTGAGATGAAAAGATCATCTTTGGGAAGGTAGGGAGAGGGAGGAAAATATGCAACAGTGAATGAATGGAAATCCAACTTTTCTGTAAACTTTCATTAAAATCATAATTAAAATTTTTAAAAAAGAAAAGAAAATATCATCTTTGTCTCCAAAGAGCATGCTGACTGCACTTTCTCAAAGACATTTTTTTTTATTCTTTGGCAGTCCATAGGATGTTCAGTGCTCTTCTCCAACACAACGGTCCAAAGGCGTCAAAATTCTTCTTCTGTAATTCTTACTCATTGTCCAGCTCTCAAATGCATAACAAGATCAGAAAGACCATGACATGAATCAGACACACCTTATTCCACAAGCTGACATTAATACTCCTCAATAATTTGGAAAAGTCTCTGAATGCAGATTTCTCCAGTCCTGATCCCCTGGCTGCTGGTACCAAAGTGTTGATTGTGGATCCAAGTAAGATTAAGTTGTATACAGTTTTAATCTCTTTTCCATCAATTATAATATTGTCTCAGTAAAATGGTAAGAATTTTTCTTGGTCTTGAGATGCAATACATATTGAAGGCTGCATTCTTTGATCTTCTACAACAAGTGTTCCAAGTACCCCTCACTTTCAGCAAGCAAGGTTGTATCATCTGCATAACACAGGCCACTGATGAGTCTTCCTCTGATTGATGGAAAGAAGAATGTACACCTTTAAATGTGGTGTTGGTGGAGAATATTGAGGATCCTAAGGACTACCAATCTGTATCATCTGGGATGGGGTGCTTTACCGGCAGTGAAGTGGTGAAGTGGTCTGAGGTTAGAATCCACTGCCTTCTCACAATCCTACAACTATTTTAATTCTCAGCCCCAGGCCGTAGACGTCTGGAATTGAGTGCTTTGCACCTGCAGTGAAGTGGGTTACACCAGGGATGTATTCTGTCTCCATACCTGTATGTAGAACAGATCATCCAGGAAGCGGGGCTGTATAAGGAAGAATGTAGCATCAGGATTGGAGGAAGATTCATCAACAACTTGCATTATGTAGATGACACAACCCTGCTTGCTCAAACAGAGGAAGGCCTGAAGCACTTGCTGCAGAAGATAAAGCTCAACATCCAGAAAACAAAGATTCTCACCACTGGGCTAATTGGCAGCATTATGATGGATGGTGAAGAGAGTGAGATTGTTAACAGTCATAGGTTGTTTGGCTCCACAATCAACACACTTGGTTACAGCAGCCAAGAAATCAAGAGATGAATTGCATTGGGAAAGTCAGCTGTCAGGGATCTCTCCAGAGTATTGAAGAGCAACGACATGAGTCTGGACTAAGATGCACCTGACCCAGGCTATGGTCTTCACAATTGCGGGCTATGCATCAGAGAGCTGAACAATGACTAGGGATGATAGAAAGAGAATTGATGCCTTTGAGCTGTGGTGCTGGAGAAGAGTGTTGAGTATACCATGGACTGCTAGGAGAACAAACATGTTCATCCTAAGGAGGGTAAAGCCAGGCTGCTCCTTGGAGGCAAGGATTCTGAGGCTTTGTCTGGCATACTTTGGGCATGTTGCAAGGGGGGACCAGTCTTTAGAGAGGTACATCATGCTTGGAAGAGTGGATGGAAGGAGAAAGAGAGGGAGACCCTCAATGAGGGTAGGTGTGTCAGAGACGGTAGAGTTGGCACAGGATAGAGTAGGTTTCAGGGCTGTTGAACATAGTGTTGCTATAAGTCACAAGTGACTTGACAGCACATGACGACAGCAACAACAACAAAGACTGCCAAAAGAACAAACAAATCTTTCTGAATGCTCCTCAGAAGCAAAGTTGGTGAAATGTCATCTCACCTACTTCGGGCATATTTTCAGATGGAACCAGTCCTTAAAGAGAAACAGCATGCTGGGAATGTCAGTGAAAAAGAGGAAGACCCTCAGTGAGATGGACTGCAACAGTGACTGCCACAGTGGGCTTGAGTATGGGGAGGTCATGACAGTGTGGCAGGACGGAACAAGGTTCACATCTGTTGATCTAGGGTTGCTATGAGTTGTACTTGATTTGATGACATCTAACAACAACAAAAAAGATAGGTCAGAAAATAAGAAGGTAGGTCATTTTTTTATTTCATTAACAATGAGGGGTCAGCTCTTTGGTCTTTTTTACTT